CACTGTGGGTTTCTATGGCTGTAAAAAGACATCATGACCACAGCAACTCTTAAAAAGGACATTTAATTGGGTCTGGCTTACAGTTTCGGAGGATCAGTCCATTGGGAAGCATGGCAGCATGCAGGCAGGCATGGTGCTGAAGGAGGAGCTGAGAATTCTACATCTTGTTCCGAAGGCAGCCAGGAGTCTGGATTCCACACTAGCCGGAGCTTGAGCACAGACCTCAAAGTCCACCCCCGTGGCGATATACTCTCTTCAACAAGGTCACACCTACTCCAACGAGGTCACACCTCCCAATAGTGCCCCTCCCTATGGGCCAACCATTTAAAACACATCAATCTAAGGGGGGGGGGAGGCACATATATTCAAACCACCACAGAGCTATGAAGAAACCAAACATTCCCAGTATAGCAAACTAGCATACTCCTCATACTAAACAGGTGGGGAAGAAAAAAACAGTAATAAAACCACCCAGGAAAAAACCAACCAGTAAATTCACAAAAAAATTAGCAAGCCTTTCTCAGCAAATAGTTTAAAATGTTACAAAACAAACAAACAAACAAACAAAATTCACAAAAAGATGCAGAGGAGCTGAGGATTAAAAAGTGAAAACCAGCTCTTTCCGCCATCTTGGAGCCTGTGGAGCCTGCTGGGAACAGGACTTCCAAAAGCAAGTATGTCTGGAAGGCTGTGGTGCAAGGCCACTTTTGCTGGCTACAAGCGAGGTCTCCGAAACCAAAGAGAGCACACGGCTCTTCTTAAAATTGAAGGTGTTTATGCCCGAGATGAAACTGAGTTCTACTTAGGCAAGAGATGTGCTTGTGTGTACAAAGCAAAAAACAATACAGTGACTCCTGGAGGCAAACCAAACAAAACCAGAGTGATCTGGGGGAAGGTAACTCGGGCCCATGGAAACAGTGGCATGGTGAGTGCCAAATTCCGAAGCAACCTTCCTGCAAAGGCCACTGGACACAGAATCCATGTGATGCTGTACCCACCCCGGATTTAAACTAATGCAGAGTAAATACATAAAAATAGATTTGTGCTCTTGTATTAAAAAAAAAAAAAAAAAAAGTGAAAACCAGTGGCCAAATGCAGTGACTCTGGGATAAGGCCCCTGGCTGCCAGACTGGATAAGCAGAGTGAGACCTTGGAATCTGCATGGTGGAAGGAGAGACCTGACGGATATAAGCTCTCCCTTTACCACATATGCCATGGTACACACCACCCCCCACAACAATTAGCAAAATACATCTTAAAAAAGTTTAAATTCAACTATCTGTTGTTTCCAAGAAAACACAACTGTGGATTCTGACCCTAGGAATCAAAGGATAAAAGTCAATGAAGGAAACTAAAATGTTGCTGTACCTATTCTTATCTAGTAAAGACCAGTTTTGTTTTGTTTTTAAATCAGGAGAAAAGGTCAGCATATCTGAATAAAGACAGACAGACACACACACACACTCAGACAGAATGCTGAGATTATACTTTCGTAACACAAATGTTAATGGGCTTGAAGAGTCCTGAAACCCATCAGTGGGTACAGTGCTTTGAATGAGAATGGCCCCACAGGTTTGAATGCTTAGTCACCAGGGAGTGGAACTGTTTGGGAAGGACTAAGGTGTGGTGGCCTTGTCGGAGGTGTGCTACTAGGAGTGACCTTTGAGGTTTATGTGCCTCTTCTCCTAACCCCTGCCTCCTGATTGATCGGGATGTAAAAATGTTCCAACACCATACCTGCCTACTTCCTACCATTATGATCAAAGCTAACCCTCTAAAACTATAAGCAAGACCCTGATTAAATGCTTTCTTTAAAAGTTGCCTTAAACATGTGTTCTCAGCAATACAAATGTAACTAAGACAGGGTGAGTTTAATGTCCTGTGCGCATCCTTAGACAAGTCATCTAAACAAAACAACAGAAACGCAAGGGTTAAGTACACACTGGTCAAATGGTCTAACGGTCTACAGAATAGACTTTCAACAGATTCAGAGTGCAGAGTTTTCTTAGCAGCCTTAGAACCACATTCTAAGTCACAAAACAGCAACTCTTAACAAATGCAAAAATTATTCCTCTTTCCTTAGCAGATCATAGTGGTATAAAGCAGAAATCAATAGCAAGTAAAAACCACAAAATGCTAGGGAAACTCAATATATTCCTTTTTAAAAAAAGACTGTGTATGTCTGCATGCATGTCTGTGTGTGGGCATATGCACATGAGATACCTCTCTAGAGGCCAGATCTCTTCTGCACATGAGTTACGGTGGGTGTGAGCCACATGGTGTGGACTCTGGGAACTGAATCCAGGCCTTCTGCAGGCTCTTACTAACCATATCTTCAGCCCTTCAACATGTACTCTTGATTGATCAGTGGGTCAGTGAAATAATCAAGGAAGCTGTTTAAAAATTCTTAGAATCAAATGAAAATGAAAGCAATCCGCTAAAACTTTTAGGGCACAGGTATCTCAATTATCGAAAAAAATATATAATTAAATGGTTATGTTAAGAAAAAATATCTTGAAAATAACCTAATGATGCAAGTCAGCCAAGGTCCTGGAAAACAAACAAGCCAAGCTCAAAGAAGCAGGTGGCCAGAAATGATAAAGATCAGGTCAGAGATTAACAGCCTGCAAAGAGAATACACAGTATCAAATAAAACGCTCATTTATTAAAAAGACAAACAAGACTGACAAGTCCCTAAACTAAACTAAGAGAAAAAAAAAGACCCCAAATATTAAGATACAGAAAACAGGCTATTACAACAAACTCCAACGAAATCCAGAGAAAGACTATAAAAGAATTTGAAAATAAACTGGAAAAATGCATCCACTCCTAGACATACTTAAGACATGGCAGCATAAGATGACACAAACTCAAACACATAACTCAGAACGAGCCTGAAGCTGCTGTCTCTCGCCTGTCCATAAAGAACAGCCCAAAACCCAATGACTTGCTGCCAGGATTTACACAACCCCTAAGGAAAAAGCTACCGCTGCTGTACTTGCTTCCTCTCTGTCTAGCCTACGAAATGGAAGAGGAACTGCTCTTAAACTCATGTTAGGAGTCTAAGGCCAGATAAGGACACAACAAAAGAGGAATAGACAGCAGTGTCCTTGATGAAGTCGTGAACATGTCAGTTTCCTTTCTGTGCTGTGATATGATGAAGACCATGACCAAAAGCAACTTGGAGAAGAAAAAGGTTATTGCATCTTCTAACTCCCAAGTCAAACCCTTACCACTGAGGGAAATCATGGCAGGAGATCAATTAGGCGGCAACAGAAACAGAGGGACACTGGGCTTCCTGGCTTGCTTCCCCTGGCTTTCTTGTACAGCACAGGCTCACCTGGTTAGAGATAGTACTACCCAGAGTAGGCTGGGTTCCCTAATATTAATTAGGAAGATGCCCACAGACAAGCCCACAGACCAATCTGATGGAGACGACTCCTCAACTCAAGTTCCCTTTTTACAGTGTGTCAAGCTGACAACCAAAAGAGGCATCACAGCATAAAAATTCAATAAAATCCATGCAAACCATTTGGTAGTCAAGAACATAGCACTAAGAACAAACACATACCCTGACCAATCTGATTCCATCACAGGCTTACATGGTGACTGGTGCAACACAGGAAAGTTAATGTTAAATACAACGTAAAGACTTAAAGGCAGATAGTACACAACTAGAGAAATGGCCTTTGACAAAGTTCAAAACTCCTGAAACAAGCCAGGCACAGAGGAACGTAACGAAGGATGTTTACACAACCCATTCCCAACATTATAAATATTGAAAAACTGAGAGAGTTTCCTTTTTGAACCAAGAGTGAGGCAAATGTGCCTGCCTATTCTAATCACTCTCATCCAATACAATGTTCAAAATCTTAGCTAGAGCAGTAAAAACAAGATCAAGAAATGGATGAGTGTGTTTGGCTCAGCAGAGTGCTTGTATAAGGCAAGCAACCACTGAACCTGCATGGTGCAAGGAATAACTCTAGCAAGCATCTTCTGACTCTGCACATATGTGCTGTGCCCTCCTGACAAAAATAAGAGACGGTTCCTAAAAAGTAAATAATGGAAGGAAGGGAGGGATAGAGAAAGGAAGGAGAGGGGAGGGTAAGAGTCCAAGCATCCTGACTTGCAAAGGACATGATTCTACACTGTGTAGTAAGATACTGGGTTTAATTCTGAACTATGTGGCTATACTAGTTCTACCTGTATTCCTACATGTTGATAGCTGTCGTGATTAGAAAAAAGGATTGTAATTAAATCCAAGAGGCTCTAAAAATTCCAAGTCTTCTAAATAGGAATCCTGTCATTTTTTTTCTCTCTAAACTTCTGAATTCTATTTGTTTTTTAAGCATATGGTTCAGTTTCAAAAATTATATTGAACCAGGGACTGTGCCACATGGTGAAGTCAGTCTCAGGAAGGCCAGAGGTTGAGATGGAGGATTTTCAGTTCAAAGCCAGCCCAGGGAAATCAGTGAGACCCTCTCCAAACAAATAAACAAACAAAAAGTACATACACATATTGAAACACACATATTGAAACTCAATGAGACATCTTCAGTAAAAGGGGATCAATGTCACCATGGACTTGGCATAGTCCCAGTCAAGAGCAATGAAATGTGATGTTTAGTTACCTTCGTCATTTGAGACATCGCAGTTTCCTTCTGGCCTTTTCAAGAGTCCTTCCATTATCTCATTCCTTAGGGTTCAGGGGACCCTTGGCTTAGATAAAGGAAGCCCAGTGTCTGATGATTTTACACATTAACTAGTGCCTAAATAAGATGTTTAATAACATAACTGAACTTCAGTAAGACGTTCCCGTAACAGGGGAGATATTTCTTCATATAAAATATTGACTCATGAAGTGTTTCTAGAAAACAAAAACAACTTGGTAAATATAAACAATCTAACTAAATAAAACAACCTCATGGACTAAAATAAAAATAAAATATAAAAAATAAATAAATTAAATAGAAATAAAAATAAATGTTTCACATTAGAGGCACTGTAATTCTTGAAGTCTTTTTATTTAGTGATTTCTGACAAGGAGATATACCATAGGAAAGTAATTTCACTGGCAGTGAGGTATGTATACACTCTACCAAAACACTCCTTCGTTGAACTGTTTTTAACTTTATTTACAAATGATGAAGAGTATCAATGCATATCCTTGGTTCCACTCTATCAGCAACTCCATGAACTGATGTGGAATGGTGCTTGCATACAAACTACTGTTTGTAAATGACGCTCATTTTGGATGAAAGGAACTAAGTTGTTTTTGGAAAGTGTTTAAAAGAATCATCACAGTTTATCATGACCAAGACACCTGCACCGCACTGTCCATTCCCCACAGCACGTTTATTTCAGTAATTCTGTTATGTCGGTTCTTAGCATGAGCATAGTGTTACACAATTTTCATACATTTAATCACATCCAAAACAAGTTCTAAAATGGAAATTGTAAACATTCTCATCATATGTAGAAATATTTTGTGTATTAATAGTTTTGCTAAATGATCAAATTTGGAAGATAATATAAATGAGAAAGCCTATTCTACATTGTGTAGTGAGCCTTGTTTATTAATTACATTTCTACAATGTTAAATAAAGAGACCACCCTGTCCTCTAAGCATGTCAAACTGTACGTAAAATGTTACAAAGAAACAAATCTGTTAACAAAAGTATGTCTTGCAATAAAGAACATTAGATTTTTAAAAATCTATTATGATACAAATGGAAAGGGTAAGCATCTTTGTTGACAAAGCAGGAGGTAGCATGGACGCACCACTTCATTGTCTGAGAAATGCAACTGGAGTAAAGAATATTTCCTTACCACAAATAATTTCCAGGACTATGTACAATATTTCTTTTAGAAATACTTGTTTAAACAAATCTCCCTCCAACTTTTTAGTATATATATTTTATATATATATATATATAAAAAACCGTTCCATTATGATTTTAAAAAAACACTTACACATCTAGATAGAATAGTACTCTGCCCTATTTGGGGGACCAGTCTCAAACTATGAAGTACATGATATTTAATGCCCTAAGTTGAGTAAATTTAGTTAGCAGTTCCTGGTATTATACAAAACACTAGATACATACCAACAAAATATAATATCTTATTTTTCTATGTAAGTGTGGGGAAAAACCAGAGCCTTGATTCTGGTAACACTGCAGAGAACATATCTTTCAGCAAGTCTGTCTGTAAGGATTTATGTGCAACACTTTACAAATGGCTCTCAGACGTATGACCTTTAGTTGAGTAAACTCAGCCACCAAAACCTAGTAAACCTTAAAACCACATTTCCAACCTATATAAAATATATGACCACTTACTGTCTGTCCGAAGTATTGTTTGCTCTGATGCCACTCTAGGTCCCCACTGTTCCTACTTTAGTATTTATAATGGATACTTTCATGTGGCTTTAAAATAAAAAGACAGAAATTTTAACTTTACATCCAATTAAATTTGCTATTGAAAAGGATTCCTGGTTCTATGATGCTGCTTCTGCCATTAGTAAAGAAAACGACGTTTCTGTGATAGAGGCAGGCTTTTTAAGTAGTGATGTGACTTCCACCATGCCAGCTCCAGTCCGTGGAAGATTAGCGTTTACAATGTGACGCTGTAAGTGCTTAATCCAGTCTTCCTGAACAGACAATGGTCCCCGAAAGACGAGGCCGCAAAACCTGTAAGAGAAGTAACAACAGTCCTCTTAATAAAATGGACTCTATTTAAAACTAACTTACATAAAGCCCACAATGTAAGAAATACATCTCACCACATACCACATGGAACCCACCTAAGTTTAAATCAATGGTTCTCAACCTGTGGGTCACAACCTCCTTGTAGTTCAAATGACCCTTTCACAGGAACCGCCAGAGACCGTCCTGCATGTCTAGTTATGAAGTAGCAGCCATAGTTTTATGGCTGGGCTCACTTCAACATAGGGAACTCTATTAAAGGGGCTCAGCATAAGGAAAGCTAAGAACCACTGGTTTAAATTAATTTGAAACAATCAAGTTACACCTTTATTAACAGATTGAGGAAATATCAATAGTTTTAATAGAGACTAGAATATTTAAGATTAATAAGCTTCTAAAAATATATGTGTATAATGGGTATTTTGCCTGCCCATATTGTCTGTGCACCAAATGCGCATGCCAGTGGTTCTTGTAGGCCAGAAAAGGGTGTAGGATCCCAAGGTTGGAGTTACAGATAGTTACAAGGCACCATGTGGGTGCTGGGAGTCAAGCATGGGTTCTCTGAAAGAACAGCCAGGGCTCTCAGCTACTGAGCCATCTCTTCTGCCCCTCTAAATACTTTTAGACCATCTAAATTCATTCACAAGAATTATTCCAAAGTGTATCTCTTGAAAGACCCTTCTCTGATTCAGAAGTACATGATGGGAGGTATGTTATGAAGGAAAAGAAATGTGTAAATGTGTTCTCAATAAGCAGGAACTTCAAAGACAGTGGAAATAAGCCAAGCCAAGTTAATAAAGCACGTATATAAAGCACAATCATTAATACAGCACTCTATCAATCCCAGTATAACGAAGCATGTGGCTAACGTACAAACCTAATGTTAGGAGCTGTTGAAGCAAGCATATGTATATGATACACTGAGAGTCTAGCCTGTCTCTGAGAAATCATTTATCACTTTACTGCTGAGCACGCCACAAAATAAAACATGCCAACTACTCTGCCTCAAAGGACACCTAAAGAAGGGACCACAGCATGTGGCAAGCGAGGCATATACCTGCATCGGAGAATGTAAACCTCGTCAGCACCATGAGGTAACGTTAGCATTTTCTTCTTGCTTCCAGATCTTGACCTTGATTTCTTCTGCTTACAATCTATGGCTAAAAAAGGAAAAGAAAAAAATTCCTTAAAGTTCCTCATATATTTAAAACATACCTACATAACAGAGAGGTTACAACAGCTCAATTACACCAGGAAAGTCTCTGCTCAGTTCCATTTTCGGGGCACGCACTAACTCTCAGTGGCTCTGAGAGCAGCTTCTCCTAGAGCGGGGTCTTAGCTGCACACATCTGTTCTGTGCCGCTCTCTCCAAATACAGCTCCACGACTCAGGTACAACTGAGAAAATGTGGCTAAACAACTGGGCGCTCGGTTGGTCAGTAATTACAATAGAGAATCTTTACTTCTGATCATACATAATTCTAAACATTTTATTTCTAGGATCACAACTTTTTATTGTTATTTAACTAAATATGCACTTGATTATTATTTCTATTAAGTAACCCTAGCAACCGGAGCAATGGAATAAACAATGTAATACAAAGCTCAATGACAAACCAATTTCCACTGAAATTCAAGAGCAAACATAGCTCAGTTTTGCTTTTTAAACAACCTCTTACATGTACAACATGCAAACAGGGGCTTTATTAGAAAGTAACTATAAATTTGCATTATTTAAGTTCATGGCTGGATCCAATGTTTGATGCCAACTATTCTTTACAGTTTTTCACACTATATTTCTCCAGTAGTTTGTTTTTAAAATTTTGTGATTTGAACAGAAAGCTGTTTTTTAAGGGTAGACCAAATATTTTAGTGTTGGTTTTGACATTTTCCCATTACTTTTCCCTTAATTATTTATTCCAATATATGAGTCAATGGAAGAAAATACTTTTATCGTTGAACTAGTGGCTAGAACAGTGTTCTATAGTCCTTGATCCTCTGGACAAAGGGATGACAGTGACTGAAGATGCTGCTTGTCAAGGAGCAGGAAGAAAAGTAAGAGTTCATCCCTAGGGTTTCAAGTGGAGAATCCAAATGGAACACAAGAATCATTCAAATGGCTTCTCTCGTCCACGAAATCCCCTGAAACAATTCCAAGTAAGAGAACAGAGATGAGCTGCTCAATGAACCTGTGATGTGGGCTGTTCCAAGTCCAGATTCCAAAAGAACAGGTGCTGCTATTACAGCACGAGAGACCACAGGTCCTCATAGCGGCAGACAAGTAGAAGGTAACAGAAATGCACATAGCAAACTAAAAACTGGAGGAGATGGAAGAGCTCAGTCATGGTGGCCAGCTTCTTGTCACCTGTTTATTTAAAAGTAAAATCTAAGACTCACGGGGTTTTTTTTCTATTTATCATTAAAACAAGAGACTAATAATAAGCAAAGTATGACTAACAGTCAAGTACTGAAGAATAGGTAATTCAAAGACAAATGACCCAGCTCTGGAAGATTCTAATGTTGTCGTTAGTTATGTCAGTCAAGAGCCTGGTACATAGCAGAGACTCAACAAACTCTTCAGGAGCAAAAAAATCAAGCAAAACCTAATAATTTAACCATTAGCATTTAGATGGTGTGTGACTAGAAATCTCTTCTACCGAAATGCAGTATGGGCAACACCCCGTCCTAACATGGCCACACCGTGTGCTTTAATACACTGTTTAAACTGTAAGCGGTGCATTGTCTTAGCTATGTATCACAGAGCAGTCTAACTTACACACACGAAGTTCCTCATCACACCTAACACGAATGATCAAACACCACACACTTCTTTTCCACAGCTGCTGCAGGGGGCAATTCAGAATTTGAATGACTTTTAAGTGATTCATACTCTGGGAAGAATTCAGAGAAATACTAGAGATCAGTTACCCCCTCCACCTCTGAGGTAAAACACACGTCTGCCTCTGATGTAGGACACAGCAAGGGTTGGTGTCAGATCGCAGGGACAATCTTTCTTTGGAGAGCTTACTGGTTGTTAAACTTGCCACATTACAAATAAATAAATAAATAAATAAATAAATAAATAAATAAATCCTTGTAGACTGAAAGTAAATTACTGGGGATACAAATAGAATGCATTGACAATCCTTACAAATAATCTTCACATAATGCCACTGTCAGCAAATGGGGAGAGGAATAGTAAGAAGAGGTCAATGATATGTCATATGCTACCAAACTCAGTGGCAGAAACATGCTCTGATGTCTGAAATATGCAACTGGACAGCCTGTACTTAGAAGATGAGAATATTTACATGAATGAGGAAGAACAATATTTTCTGAATTCTGATGCTGTATGACTCTAAAAGCTGTTTTAGGAATGATCACATCTAAAATTGTAAATAAAACCATCAAAATTCCACTGTTAGTATTTGAAGGTGTCATGACACCAGAAAATAGGGCAACTGTCATTATATAGCTGATAAACTCTGGTAACTAGGTTTCCAAGTCATGTTACAGACGTTCTTAGAAATTCACTTCTTTACTAAGATTAAACTATTTTAAATCTCAGACTCCTGTGAATGTCTGTGTCTAGTCTTTGTTATTTTTAAATCCCCTGGTTCCTGAGACACCGTTTTGTAGGTAAGATGAGTATGTTGAGCAAGGTTAATTACTAGCATCCAGCCCACCCCTGTAATGCTGTCCATACATTTAGAAAAGTGGGTAAAAAACCTACTGACATAAATATGTACGCAAGGAAGACATTCATACGGCACCTGCTGCATCAGAGACAACTGTCACAAGATATTCCCTTGAATGCAAAGAATAGTGTACAAACATGTCTGTAACAGAAGCATTCCAGATCAACCGACTTTCACCATTTTAAGTCTAACTGTGCATGTTCCTGTTTGATGAGGGTGGGTTCAGAAGCCCATGTTTCCTGGCTCTGTAACTATGCTGCTGCTGCCGTGGGACAGAAGCAGGCCCGGGAGTCAGGCCTCATATGCCACTCAGAGTGCAGAGCATGTGCAGTGAACCAGGTATCCAAAGGACTTAGCCAAAAAATCTCGAAGGTTATCTGATGTTACAGAAGACATCACCTGCTACTGCAAAATTACTGGCAAACAGTGAATTGAGCTGCAAAGTCATATACAAAGGCTTGACAATCTTTTAGTAAAGCAGCTGTGTTTTACTAAATATGGAAGAACCTCAAAAAGACTCCACAGTGTTGTGCTAAGCACTAACCAGGTGACAAGCATGGTATTAGATGACAACACACCCAGCATCAAGTCTGTTCTGAACAATTACTTCATTTTATACACAAGAAACACAGGTTACTTTCAGCACTGATGGCATCATGTGAGATCTTCTGCACTTTCCTTTGTTCTGCTCGCTGTGTACCAATAACTGCTTTGGAGAGTGTTTCTTTTTTTCTTCTTTGTACAAATGACTTCAGAGGACGAGGACTTCCTCAGTGTTACCTAAAACCTCTGTGATCAGGAAGTACACCATGACTAAATTAAAATCCACCACTAACCTTTTTAATTACTCTCATTCATTCCCTACCCAATTACTTAAGAGCTCCATTTCATCTTCTTCAACTGACTACTAGTATATTCTGTGTATCTTAGTGTGCTGTCTGCTGCTGTAACAAGGTACCATAGACAGTGAATGGAGGCCACCAACATTCAGCAACAACATGGCAGTAAGATGGGTATACATACAGGAAACCAAGGACACTGGACAAACTCACGAATCTCATCACTCCTATTTCCACAGTAATAGCATTAATCCCTTCATGAGGACAGAGGCCTGTAGCTCTAATGGTCTCTGAAGACTCTTAAAAAACAAAACAAAATAATAATAAACAATACCACTCACTGAAATAAGTCAGTCAATGACTGCACATCAGTTAAACTTATACCTTGGCAATAAAACAGTTTTAGAGGGAACATTTAAAACCAGACGTAGACATCTATCTTTCTAAAAACTTTGATCTTCCTCAACACACTAGACACCTCCACTCTATCCTGAGAGCTTCAGAACCAGCTCTAGTTTTAGAAGAGGGTGAGACTGGAGCCATGACTCACCTACAGGCATCTCTCCAGAAGCAGTTCTGGGGCCTCAGACAAGCACTCTACTTCCCCACACAGCACAGAGATACTACACACACACACACACACACACACACACACACACACACACACACGCGCGTGCGCACACGCACACACAGATAGGAAGAACATTCTGCCTTTCTCTACGTGCCCCTGGACACACTTAAGAGTCTGGTCCTCAGGCATCTGGACAGTGTGACACCTGCAGCTCTGCTCTACTCTTAGATGGAAGCCTGCAGCCTGTGGTTGTCCCAGGCTCGTGCTCCCACAGACCCGAGGTCTCAGAAGACTCTCAAGCCAACAACTCTACACTTTGTTAGGGTAGGTAGGTTCTCTGCAGCAGTTTGGTCCCTGGCCCTCCTTGCTACTGGGTGCTACCCTCTTGGGGACACATTGCTTATCCCTGTGGAACTGCAGTTCTTAGGTTCTGGGGGCTTGCAGGCTTAATGCCACTTGTAAGCAGCAAATCTTCCCATGTGTACCTTTTGACCACATAGGACACTAAAGTGTGAGCCCATGGGCCACCCACAGACTTTACAACACTGTAAAAGAACAGTGTCAAGATTCTTCCTATCTAAACTCCTTCCAGCAAAGGGTCTCTTGACACATTCAGTATTTTCTCCCAAACACGTCCCTACTCTGCACATGCCATCCTGCCTCACTTTAGTGACAACGAGCTACAGTTTTAGGCAGTGGCTGTCCTCTCACAGCTCACGGCCACTAAGGTGCACACTCAGCTGCCTAACACTGCTGTCAGGAGCGGTTAGCACCGTACAGCCTAGCCCTCCATTCTGGGTTCCACAAAGTCCCAACAGCACACAGACTTGTGGCCAATTCTTCACAGCAGTATAACAAAGATGACCTCTACACGTAGCTTCTAATACCTTGTTTCTCGTTTTTGTCTGAGTCTTCATCAGAATGGACTTTCCTGTCCATATTTCTACCAATGTTCCAATCACAACCACTTATGAACTCTGCCTTTCTTCTCACCGCTCATCAGAACCTCTCAGTGTTCCACACATAGCAACACAAGCTTTTTTGTGAGCATGG